TTTGCCTTTTTTACTGGGGAGATGATTATGACCAGGAATAGCACTCTGCAAACTTCTATGGGCGCCTGTATAGGGGCGAAACTGATTTTTCAGTGCAGGGACGGCCATCGGCATTGTGGGGCGGCATTCATTCCACTGGGGCGTCTGCCAGTGTTGAAGGGCGGTATTCATTTCAATGGGGCGCCCGTTGGTGTTGATGGGCGACATGTATCACCTGGGGCGCCTATCGGAGAATGGGGCGGCATTAATTTCACTGAGGCGCCTATCGGCGTTGACGGGTGGTATTTATTCATCCGGGGCGCTTATCGGTGGTATAGGCCGGGATTCGCTTCACTGAGGTGTCTATCGGTGTTTTAAGGCGGCAGTAAATCCACTGGTGTCTGGGGCGCCTACCGGCGTTGAAAGGCGACATTCATTATTCATTTCACTGGGAGGCATATTGGTGTTGATGTGTAACATTCATTCTCCTGGGGCGCCCGGCAATGAGGGGGCGGCATTTATTCCATTCCCCTGGGATGGGCCCCTATCGGTGTGGAGGCGTCGCCGTCGTATTAGTTTGAAATGGGGGCACCTCTGGGTGGTAAAAGATGCATTCATTTCGCTGGGACACCTACCAGCGTTGATTGCCTGTATTCATTCATTTCGGGCTCCTATCGGTGTTGAAAGGCGGCATTTATTTCACTGGGGCGTCACAAACCTGCTACTCCCACCATAAACCTCAGCCTATTCACTTCACGTTAGCAGTAACTAGAAGTCTCTTAGTCTCGGCATAGAGTCTCGGGTATCATTGCGTCGCGTCGGAGCGATTAGAAATCGGGTTCTAACGATCGAAATTTCGCATCTCTAACCAACTTGCCGGGAGGACGGATGCAACTTAAACGCAATTTAAATGAGTGTGTTTTTTTTAAGCGCCGAATGATGTTTCATTAGGAATAATTTCGCTACTGTAATAACAGTACATTATTGATGACACCACTGAATGCAATAATGCAGTGCAGCCCAGGCGGCATGCTGCTTATCGGCCTGCAATTCTCTGTCACCGAGTTAATGTTATGGATTCGGCGCCTTATTCACTAGTCCACACGAAGGTATTGGAACCGTGGAACTCTATTCGATATGCCTTATTCGGAGAATCTTATGATATGGTGATGAGATTGTTTCTAAACGAACATTATGAAGGTTACATTTACGCTATGGAATGTACCTAACTATTTCTCGTTACATAAAAACTGTAATTCTGAACGTGTTAACAGGTACAACACATTGTCAAACGTCTCTTCACTGTTTGTGTTACTGCAACCGTGTACATATATGGTAAGGGGCGCCCAGCGGGAAGGGGCGCTTCAATATCGTTTGCACCCCTATCCTAGAATACCTTCCGCCGCCACTGCGGCCCAACCGTTGTGCCGTTATTGAAGTTGCAATTTTGGGGGTTCTTAAAAAATGTCCAACTTTATCACGCGCCACGTGCGTTGGTGGGCAAGAACGCATGGTGGCCATCACACCACAGTGACATTCAGTAAAGAAGACCGCTTGTCAATCGGATGTCCCGTTCCTAAGATAATAGCTTTTGAAAAGCGTCCCCACGGCCGGCCGCTCATACTCAGGATTTTCCCTTAAATGTAGTGTGCCAGCTTTCCTGGACCGTATGGAGTTAATGGCCCAGATAAGGAGAACCGGATTTTTAGAACTTATCCATACCTTCAAAACTATGGAAACGTCTTAAATTCTTCAAATTTTGAGTACCCCAGTGCGAAATTCGCCCCGACGGGTTGTCGGTCGTACCCCAACCACATTTCACACCACTATGAACAATAAATGCACACACTGAAATCGCTATTACCGATATGCTCATCCAATCAAGTTTCGATAAACCCGTTCATCATCATCTCCTGCGGTTTCGAACACGCCTGTTAGGTGGTGCGGTAGACCGCGCCCAAAGCCAGGGCCCCGGCAACGTGAGGTAGCCGAGTCGGGGCAGCGTGCGCTGACCCAAGCCGGGGCCGCGCGTCCTCCCGGTGTCATGTGATAGCCCGGGGCTGCCCGCGGGGATGCGGTAGACCGCGCCCAAAGCTGCGGCCCCGGCTTGGGTCAGCGCACGCTGCCCCGACTCGGCTACCTCACGTTACCGGGGCCCTGGCTTTGGGCGCGGCTTCTGCTCATACTTTGTGGTGCGGTGGTGGTGCGTCGGGCCGCGCGCTCTGACTTCGGCCAAGAAAAATGCGTCAGCTGATCATTGTCATTTCTGCCACTTGCGTGTGGTGAAATGGGGTCATAACTTAACCCGCGCCCCGTTGGGCTCTGCCGAGCAACGCGCCCCGTTGGGGGGGGCCATTTTGGCCCCCCCCCTAAGATCTCGAGAACCACGCAACGTAGCGACAAGCGGCAAACGGTGTTGGATAGCCCTATCAGGGAACTACCTTGTGACCCAATTTTATTGACCTAGGTCAAACCGATGACGTCACAGGTCAGGTCAAAGGTCCAATTTTCACCGTTGACAGGCATTTCAAGAAATGCGTTGTAAAATCGAGTAAAATGCATTTCATTGAAAATCATCGATGGGGAAATGTTCTTCAAACACATATTTTGCTAGTTGAGGTCACTGATACCAGGTCAGGTCACTGAGGTCAGGTCACTGGGGGGTCACAATATGAAAGTGTCGTGTGATACATGTTTTATGGTCCATTTTACATGACAAATGCGATTATGTGGGTCAGGCAGCCTTTGGGGCCAGCTTAGGTCACGTTTCGGTCAAGGTCAGGTCAAGGTCAGGTCAAGGTCAGGTCAAATAAGGTCAAATTTCAAAGTTGATATTTTTGCATAAAATGGGTATCGAATCGATGCAGCTCGTCACGGGGAGTTCAATGGTGGTCTTTGTTTTGCCGTACGAGGTCTAGAATCGCTAAAAATTGAGTTCAAAAATTTGACGTCATCATTTTTGAACAGTTTTTTCGCTATAACTTGGCCAAAAAACGAGATATCGATCTGAAATTTGGTATGTATATAGAAGAGCGCAGGGACTATCACATATATTCCGGTTTTTTCGAAATTCGGAAAAATTTTGGATTTTTTTTTAGTTTTTCTAAAAAAATCAATTTTTTGAAATTTTTTGGGTCAAAAACCCAAAATTTTGAAAATCCGAGATAGCAGTTTTGTAGCGCCGCTTTTTGTCTATTAGACCATATAAAGAACTTTGAAATTGCTTGATAACTGTAGATTTGGTGAGCGTTTCAAGATTGCATGTTTTTTACTCATTTTTGCTCGAACATGACCTCAGTTTGACCTCAATAACTCCTGACCTAAGGTGACCTAAGACTTGAAATTTGGTGTGAAGGTGTCAAATTGATGCCCGGAAAGGTACTGAAAATTTGGCGGCGCTGCGCGCCGCCGTTTTCTTGCTATTCAGGAAAAATCACAGGGGGGGGGGCCAAAATGCCCCCCCCCCCAACGGGGCGAGGGTTAAGAGACGGCTTTTTCATATCAATTATTTTACATAAAATCATATTTCAAACCATAAATAATGTTCGACAGCCAAATAAAAGAAACAATACCGATACAGGCTTACAGTTTAACCCTCGCATGTGTAGGGGGGGGGTCGGATGGACCCCCCCATGGTTTTTCGCGAATAACTCGCGTAAAAAGCGGCCGATCGCGACGAAACTTTTAGTACCCTCGCATTGATCAATTGTACACCTACCCTGAAAATTTCATGACCCTGACCCAAATGACCTTTGACCTGTGACCTCTTTTCCGAGACCATGTTTGGCCGGAATTGCGATTTCGCGTATGTCGGCTCGCACTAGCCGCGTGTTTGCAAGCTTTTCGTGGTTTCAAACGTTCAAACATGTGATTTGATGTTACTCCCGTGTGTGTCAAGGTCACCTGAAGGTCAGGTCAGGTCATTGACCTTTGGTGACCTCGGGTGACCTCGGGTCACTTTTTCGAGTTTTACATGTTTCTAGGCTAGTTTTTGGAGCTGAATTCGAATTTAGCAACCATTTGAACATTTACGAAGTAGTTTTGGTGACTTCGTAACATGTTACGAAGCTGTCAGAGGCGGTTGACACGTACTACGAATACCCGTCACGACGCCTACTGGTTGACCTGACCTGACCTGACCCGACCTGGTCTAAATGCTTCAAGACATCATCTGTGATCAAAACTAACACGATATTCGTGATCAGCACCCCGAAAAAACCCTTAGCAGCCACACTTTACGACTTTCTAACAGGTCCCGATTTTCCCGACTTTGGGTCATTGACCTGACCTGGAAGGTCAACCAATGACCTAGGACCTTAAAATTGGGTATCATCGGCTTCCTCTCGTCACGGGCAACACGCTCGTTTTTTCCGCGAAGCTCTAGCTTGATCAGGGGCCAAACGGCAAGGGGGGGGTCCAACCGACCCCCCCCCCCCCTACACATTAGAAGCTGGCAAACGCCGCACACATGCGAGGGTTAAGGCTCGACATTGTGTTGTCTACGATTAGACAGCTGATAACTCATTCCCGTACGTCGTAACTCTATAATGACCTTTGCTTATTGTCACATGTGCGCTGCATTCGCGATTGTTGCCGACGCCTGTTTGCAGGTCAGCCCACTACAGTTGTTATACATATCGAAAAACCGATAAACTTTTAGGCGAAAAAGGCACTATTCCAGGCCCATTTTTGATTTTTTTGCGATATTAGGTAAAAACAAAAGCTTCTTATCCTAGGAAAAATAAAATGGGAAATCTTTCAAAGGTGGCACACTACCTTTAATTCAGTATGAACTCGCTCGCTCGCTGCGCTCGCTCGCTCGTAATGACATTGCAAAACCCTGGGCATCTTTCCCCACTCTCCTCTACTATAAGCCATAGTGCGTAGTCCATAGACATTGTTCGCGTAAGAACCGTAGGCAGATACAGGTGCCAAAATATTAAATAGCTATCATTCAGTGACACCAGCAAAATGCTTGTTGGAGGCGTCGCACTCATAGCTAAAGACTCGCTTAGAATTTACACCATTTGTACCTTTATTCATCCAATCCTTGCATATATTACATTACATATCAATATAAATGTCATGTTATCAACACACAAGATAAAAGAAAGAGTATCATCAAGTGAATACAGACCAGCTGTGCCCAGAACGTAATAAGCATGGATGAAGCGTCGTCGATGAGATGCAACAACTAACAAGTGATCGCAGGATGAGCGAGGTGTGACTGTGAGCGCCATCGGTGCCGACCAGCGAGTACCGACGTCCGACCGACCGACCGGTGGGGCGACATGGAACCAGTGTGTACCGCCAGCGGCGACCGCACCGCACCAACAAGCAATGTACCAGGTACCTGAGAGGTTGCTGCACCCGCCCGCGGGCCAGCCTGCACGTAACAACCGCAGCAGCAGCAGCAGCAGCAGCGACAGCTAGTAGTAGAAGCTGTCGGCCACGCACTGGCCGTTGATACAGTGCAGGCCGCGGCCGCAGGCGGAGCCCTCTGCCGCCGGCCGGTACGACACGCAGTAGCCGCTGGACGGCTCGAAGCAGTACAGCTCGGCGCACACGCGCTGGTCCTTGAAGCAGGCGCTCGAGCCGCGGTCCCGCTTGCACTGCGCGTCCACGGTCATCAGCTTGCCGGGCAGAGGCCTGTCTGCCGGTAAATCCGCTCGCTCTGACGGATAGTTGTGCATGCAGCGTGATCGCTCATCACTGGCGAAGTGGGTAAACTGGTTAAGACTGCAGACGGACCACTGGAGACCCCTTTGGTCCCGCCGCAGGTCCGACATGATGTAGCCGTCCTTCCAGGGACAGGAGCTGGCCCCTGGCCCGCCCAGGTACGCTGCCGGCGGCGAGCCATCGTGCACGGCTCCAAGAAGATGTCCAAGCTCATGTGCGGCGACGATGATGCCGGAGAAGCCACTAGAGTCCTCGACCAGAGCCACAGAGTTGATCTTGCGGAAGTACCTGCTGACGCTGCATCCTCCTCCAACGTACGCGTACCCAGCGGTTATTTTGTTACAGGAACCCCATGCGCCGTTACGGGTGCACATGTCGCGCTTCGTTATCACCATGGCAACGTCGTAACTGGGCAGCCGCTTCTCTTTGTAGAGATAGCGACCAATGGATGCCAGGGCATCGATGGCGTTCAGAGCCTTCCCGCCTATCATGTTTTTCTCCAGGTAAGGAGTTGCCTCCTTACTTTTGCTGATAACAATGCCAGCCACCTTAACAGTGATAGAAGGCTGGTTTACTGATTTATAGCGAAGGTCAACTGCGTTCATGAAGCTCATTAAATACCGTTTGACGGCTTTTGCTTCAAAGTTGTGGGCTGTGTAGGTCTCGTAATCAACAATGATCAGGATTTCGGGGTACAGGTCATTTGTGTCACGCTTTAACCGGTGAGACTTTCTGGAGCCAGGAGAGGTGTCACTGGCTGCCGGCTCCTTCTCTACCAGCAGCGAGTCTTCGTGGTCGATGGGAGCCGAGCCGGTGGCCGACGACGGCGAGGCGGCGCGCTTGTAGATGACGTGCAGCCCTCGTGTGACCGGCGGTGTCGAGCGGCGCTGGCGCAGCCGGGCCGTGCTGTCGTGGCTCTCGGACCCGTCCAGCGGTTCCTGGTCGTCAGCCAGCAGCGCGTCGTCGTCATGGGACGACGGGTAGTGGTGGTACACGCGCCTCGGTGCCGGCGCGATCACCAGATCGGACACCACGCCGTTCAGCTGCAGCGTGTCGTCGTCGGCGTGGTTGACCAGCAGCGCCGCCTCGCGACTCACGTCCTGGTACGGCTCGCCCACGTACATGTCCGTGTCGCCCTCGACGCGCTCGATGTTGATGTCGTGGCCGGCGCCGTCGGCGTAGAAGAGCCGGATACGGTTGTCGATCTCGCGGTTCATCTCCAGGTCCAGGTCGATCTGGTCACCGAACGCTTGCACGTGAACGCTGCGCCGGTGCCGGCCGTTGAGGCTGCGCTTTCGTCTGGAGCTCACGTGGAAGAGGTCGTACTCTGGCACGTCCTCGTGGCGTTCGACGGCGAACACGTGGCGCAGCTCGTCCACGGAGAGGTGGAGATGCAGCGTGTGCCGCGGAGCTGTGTGTGAGGCGGCCGTGGCCAGCTCGTCCGCAGAGGACGCCTGGAGGGCCGCAGCACAGCTGAGCAGCGCCAGGGTTGAGAGTAGAGTGTGCGCCATTTCGGTGAAAATCTGCGGCACACTCGGGTGAAAGTGTCCGCGGCCGGCAGGGTGTGCTGGTCCGGCGGCGGCTGCGGGCGACTCCGGAGCGCGCCCACCTGATGCGGTATAAGTACCGGCCCTGGTGTGTGCCGCCGTCCAATGGCCGGCTGCTGCACCGTGACGTCATCTGCAGCTTCTCTCGGTGCTACCAACTCACTGGGAGTACGGCGCGTGCGTGCTCTCATGACCATGTTCCCGAGCTTACTCTCATTGATATATTTATTCATGATTCTCTTCTTCAAAGGAACGGAACGTGAAATGGAGCAGAGTTAATATTCTCATGCAGTTCATATGCAGTGCAAAAAGTTGGTACTTTTTAGGACATGTAAATTGCATCAGTTATTGAGCAGTCAAAAGCATTGTGTGTGAAGTTTAGCATAAGAGGAATTTTATTCCTGTATGGTCTGGAATAAGAAACCGAAACGGTGACCTTTGGCATGCACCTTGCTGTTGTTACCTAATTAGGTACCTATATTCAGCAAGGTCAAGGTAGGTACACAAATTAACGTGATTAAATTGTCGGGAAACTCAGGATTTGATTTTCAATAGAAAACACAATTCTAACGACTAATGTGTAAACTAATATTCAGCTAAAACCCTCGGTTACTTATAAGTTCACTTTCAGCTTATTTACGTCAGACTAATTACTAACAGCCGTGACAGCGCGAGCTCTCATTCGGCGAAAGCCGCCAGCGTTATTGTGAGTGTATCCCTCTCACAGAGCCGTCCACATGTAATCTCAGTCCTGGACATCAGCCGGCTGATACGAAGATCCCGGGAAAATGGAGCGGCGGCTACCAGAAAAGTAATCTTAAACGGCGGTAAGTACTTACATACCTGGCCATATATGGAAGGAAGGTTTTCATGGCTGATTCGTGTGTGGTAACACGCCCAGTGACCAGTGCACACTGCACATCGGGTTTTCGTACCTACGAAGCTTGTTCTTCACTGAACAATAGGCATTCAATCGCTTTGCATGTGTCATCTTACAGACAATAGCCTTTTTCACGACGGTCATCTGGTACACATTTGATGCAAATTAGGTGCAGATTTGGTGCAGATTTGGTCAAATTAGGTTCATTTTGTTTCCTGAAAGTTGTGAGTTTGGGTTGGACAGATGCTTATAGGAGGCTGGAGGGGGCATCGAAAAGTTATGATCATCACCGTGAACTACATAGATATGACAGAAATTTGATTTTTACATTACGTTCATTAGTATTACTCCTCCACAAGTCACCAAACACGATAACAAATTTATTCCATCGTTTCTTGAGCTGCCACAGGCCGCCATAGTATATAGAACCCTTCCCACTGCCCGGTAAATCATTGTTCCACCTCATCAGTGACGTCATTTCTGTCACTCATTCACCTGCCATGCTGTGGATTCTTCATCTCCCGGAACAATTCAGCGTCACTTAAAGGGACCCTCCCACCTTCAAAAAAGTTTATGAATTGGCATGAAAGTGATGTCGCTCGGTTCAGAAAGAGCGAAAACGAATATCTACCAAATTTCACCGAAAAATATTCACCGGTTTTCAAGATATTAGACTTTTACTTTTGTTTACTTTTTGGGATCTCCGCTGTTCCTAGCGACTTTATTTGGAAGCAATAGTTTGGCAGCTGAAAGTGCGGCACTCGTTGCGCGCAAAGCAACATATCAATATACCACCGCGTGCTACAAAACCTTTTAGTCAAACATTTAAAAATCGTTAGATATCTGCGCTGACGTCACACATTCAGAGGGGTATTCCTATGCATTAGCCCCTCTGAATCAAAATGCTGCAATTTTGAAATTCAATATTTCCGATTTAAGACATTTCTCGATGTTGTGAGTGCCGAAACCGGTAATTGTGAGCCAGGGACCCCATTTTGGCTATCTCAACTCAAATCTAATGTTAAGGTGGGAGGGTCCCTTTAATACCAGGTCAGATGACTTTGTTAGATGCAATAAGATTTAATGCCCACAACATGCTGTTCCTTCAATCGCAGCTCAGATCGTGTCGGCGAGGAGAAGAACATCTGTATTCGCCTTTTTGCAGCGATTTTACTCGAAAGCATCTCGCAGGCTCTTCAAAAGTGTGCAGTAGTGCGTGCTTGTTATTATCCGACCCTCAACAATACAGTCGGCAATGACTATATTACGCCAGACCCAGAACACTGACTACATTCCGACCCTCATCAATACAGTCGGCAATGACTATCTTACGCCGGACCCAGAACACTTGCTACATTCCGACCCTCATCAATACAGTCGGCAATAACTATCTTACGCCGGACCCAGAACACTGCCAACATTGACCGTCTATATCGGCTTCTGTATCTTCACCTTTAAGAAGGGCGAATGTGCTGTATTTCAACTTCTTGCTTATCTCTTTTGCCTCTGCATCATGCACGTACGCCCAGCATTCGTGAAAACTCACCAAACAATCGAAGATCTCTTCAATTTCCCAAAAAGGCCTAGTTTTCGCTTTTAAAGGCCAAGCCGCACTTTGCTCTTGAACAAAATAAACACACGAGCTTCTAAGCGGGCTGACCCCTTATCGTTTGTAGTTGAGGTTCTTCGCTGGTAATATTTTCAAGCACTGCCAGCATTAAGACCATTCTAATGTATTATCATTTGAAAGGTCACACGACGATATGCAAGGATGAGGTCCCCCACTTTCTTCACAGTCACCACCTTGTCAGCCATTGGAAGTCACACAGTTCTTGACTTCCCTGCAAGAGCCATGCAACCAATTTGAAAGTTATTTTTCTACTAACGGTAAGTGTGGACTTTCTTCGTCATAAACTATTATCACTTTCTAAAAGGGTACCCTCAGTGTGATACCCTTTTTAATGCAATAGTTCGTTGACGGTTCGGTCCTCATTGGGCCCATTGCTCATCTTTTCATTTCAAAGTCTTTCCATACATGAGAAAACTTTTCAGGATTTTCTTTTGCATGACCATTGTTCTTAAGGATAAAATATAATATCGGCAAAAAATGATTAAAATCTTTCTATAACGTCTGTGCGATGATCAGAACTTTTTGATGTCCCCTTGTAGACCTCATTTGTCAAATTATAAGACATTATTTTTGTTTATTAAAACACTGAATTTTTTTTTGCGATATGAAAATATTTATTGTAAAAGAGATTTGATGCAGATTTTGTCAATTTAGGTGCATTCGCCAGATAGCCCGTCGTGAAAACGGCTAATATACCTATATTACTTTTGCATATATGGACAAGGACATATAAGTAGAAGTATCAACGTATAGATACAAACAGGAACACTAAGTATGTCGTTCATGCTTAAACTCACAGTATTCGAGCCTATGTCGCGCATTTCTATTCTTTTTACCGGCTGCAAACCCGAGTGCAACGCGCTAAGCAGAGCTCGCTTCAAAATGACATCATAAATCCGCTGCCTATTATCAACATGTAAGCCGGTAGACGGTGTAAAGGACAAATAACTATGTGCACACTATATCAGACAAAAAGCTCTCGACGTCGTTTTATTGATATGAAACGTTATACACCTACGTGTAATGTTTATCCCATGCTTGTATTGTCGTCAAGTATTATGGCTCCAAGCAATTGGACACTGAACAGTTTGTTTTTAGCAGCTTCTCCATGGTCAAGAAAATATTGGGAATGATCAAATCCTTGCAGCAGTGCGTATAAATTTTCAACTTTAGAAATATGGTCTTCAATCTTCATGTTATGATTGATGCATGAAATTTACTATTCACTCACACATATTCAATATTCATATGTGAAATATACGTGATGAAACAACTAGTTTCCATTGATTGCTATCAATGCATTTGTTATGGAACGGCACGCCTTCGAACGAACGGTTCTATGGAACGTTTCTACACTTTCAACTCTGGACTTTGTATGTGACATTATTTTGGGGATTTTTTTCCACAGCCTTTACTTATTGCACGCTGTCACGCAAATCCTAACAACCGGCTCTCGCATACCAATTGCTCAATGCATGAATTCCGAATACCAGTGTGGCTGAAAACGCATTTCCCCAATGTTGCCATTAGTGCAATCTGTTGGGCGGCTCGAGATTTCAATTCCACACTAATTGTTGCCAAAGTTTTGAGGTGACCGCGGCTCGTGGGGTCGGCGTACGACACATCTGCGGTACCGCGTACCTATGCCTGCATGGACCATGGGACCGTCGCTGAGGCACGCGCATCGGTTGCACGTGAGTAACTGGTTAGCCGATAACCAGTAGCCACTCCCCGGCACCGGTCAGGCTGCGGTGACCGCCGGTGGGCGGGCAGGGAGGGAGGGGTCACAGACAGACAGACAGACAGACAGACAGACCTCCGCCCCCGGCCCCATGGCACCCGGACCCTAATCCACCGTCTCAGACGGCCGGGCCGGCCAAACGGCCGACACGTGAGGTTTAGGCGGCAGCAGGCAGATTTTTGGTGCATAGCTGCATCTCATGTCGGCTCAGAGGCAGTGCGCCCAGGTTCTAATGACCCGAAAAGGAGATGGACTGCGGCGCTAGCGACTCAGGTCTCATGCACACCGGTTTACCTCACGAAGCGCAGTTGGTGATGAAGGCTTGAGAGGGTGATTTTTCACCATTTCTTTCGTCGCTGA